CATTCAGAATCTGTAATAATCTTCTCCCTCTTTGCTGCCAGACCTCTACACACCTGCTCTTTTTCCCAGCCTCCTCCTCAGCATCTTCACTCCCATATATCTGTCAGAAAATATAAAAAAATTAAGGATATTTACATAAAAACAACACAAATCTGATGTATTTACATATTTAACACCTAAACACTCAAATCTTTTACATCCCATCAAATATACCACTGAATTCCAATGTATTTACATGCTGAACATTCAATATTTATTTCTCACATTATTTATGCAAATCAAAGCTTTCATATCAAGTCAAAAATGTAATTTTTATGTAAAAATTGAAGTTTAGATGTTAGATTATGTAAATCAATTAAGAATTGTGCGGTACTTGAGTAAATTTCCCATTCAAAATCATAAGAGCTTATAAACTACTGAATTTCAGCTATACCTTCCCATCATCATAACGGTCGCCTGAGGATTCGTTCCCGGCGAAGTATCGTAAGTCGAGCCATCGACCACTCGCAGCCGGCCGACCCCGAGTACCTTGTACTCTTTATCAACAACCTGTCCGATGTGGCAACCACCATGATAATGCCAAATAGTTATCACAGTATCCCTACAGAACTGCTCGAGAGAAGCAGTGTCATTGGTGTGTTTTGGAATGAGGTTCACATTGGCCTTCACACTCATGTTGAGCAACATGTCGATTGAGTACGAGTCGTCCTGAGTCAACTCAGCAAACGGCTTCGTTCGCACGATTCGCTCGATGGTTCGGATGCCGTAGACACATCGTTGAAGGTCATACGGGTGGTTGAAGTAATTGAACGTCACGTTGGGGTTGTTGTCGATGTTGGTGTCAACGAGGTGGAGGTGGCCTCTCGATAAGGGGCCGTCGATCTTCTCTAAGATGAAGCCCCCCTGGAAAGCTTCCCTCGGGAGGTCATTCTTTGTCTTCGCGTATTTTTGTGCAGCTTCAAGGGTTCTTAGTTTAGGTGGTGTGGTAGAGAGCTGTCCAATCTGGTTGCCATTCATCATTCAACATGTAACATTCAAACTTTCAATCATGATCATTGCAATATTTATATAAATGCACAAGTGCTTTTACATATATTCTACTCAACTCCTATGCATTTACATATGTAACCCCTAAGTTTTAATTACCTTCGAGATGTGTAGCACCCATATTTCTTGGCATCGTATCAAAAATACCATCATTTTAACTTTTAAAAAGTGTAATTGCACCTTAAAATGCATGATATGCATGTACATCTTCCTATATGTTGCTCATAATTCTTATATATTTATATGTCTAACATGTTTCATATATACATATATAACATATATGTAAAATATGTCTTCCATTCACAACTTCATCATATCAAAATACTATAAATGTACCACCGGATTCATATGTATTTACACATCTAACACCAAAATTTCACTTTTTTACATTTCTACCACAAAAATCATTCAAATCACATAAAAAATACACTTTTTTTAGCTAGAAATAAATTTTCTCATGCATAGTAAGATTTTTTATAAAGTCCAATGCATGTAAAACCAAAAATTTAGATGTTATATACAAAAATAAATAAAAATTGAGTGGTATGCATGTAAATCTTCCTAAATGTAAATATCAAACTTTATGTTTTAGATATACCCTTAGAAACTGATTGTATGTGATCCTAAACATTGTGTAAAATATATTATTATGCTAACTTTGTAAAAGTAAAATACTTATTTTTCATGCATAGCTTTATGATATCAAAGTGTTATAAATGTAAGGGGCATTTACATACATACCACCCAATTCAAATGTATTTACATATTCTAACACCAACACCAAAACTTCACTTATTACATTTTTACCTCAAAAATCATTCATACCATGTCAAAAATACACCTTTTTTAACTTTAAATACATTTTCTCATGCATAGATAAAATTCTTCTCTTTTCATGCATAGATAAAGCCCAATGCGTGCAAAAACTAAAATTATGTGTCAAATACAAAAATACATAGGAATTAAATCGTATGCATGCAGATCATCCTAAATGTAAACATCAAACATTATATGTTATATGTTAGTAAGGGCGGACCTAAGTAGGGTTCATACCCCCTCAAATTCAGATTTTTATTTATATGAGAGGGCAATTTGACATTTTGTCCCTTTTGAAAATTAGTTTTGTCTCTCCGAAAATATTATTTCGCCTTTAGTTGTCTTAGCCCCTCCCATTTTGAGTCAAAGAGGACACCTTGCCCCCCTTTGTTAGACTTGTAAATACATAATAATTGGGTGGTATGTGTGCAAATTTCTGTGAGAGAGAGAGAGAGAGAGAGAGAGAGAGAGAGGGTGAGATGGAAACAAGGACCTCAGCAGACATGATGCCATGATGGCAATGAATGCTATCAGAAGACTGACCAAAACCGCTGCTCGCCTCAATAAAAGATCCAATCTTTGTGATTCCCACGCTCTGTATCAACGACTGCTCCACCTTCTTCTTCGTCGGAATGAAAATGGAGTTCATCGGATTATCAGACATCCCCTTCCCCACATGCCCATTATTCACCACCACCTCTATCCCCAACCTCCTCAAATCCTCCTCCGGCCCAATCCCACTCAGCAGCAGCAACTGTGGACTTCCCAACGCTCCAGATGACAAAACCACCTCACTCCCCCGCCGGCCATTTAAAAAAGCTCTGTGTCGCACGCCATGCTCGTCCTTGAAGACCACTCCAGCAGCATTTGGCCCCCTTGAACCTGTCCCTTCCAAACAGAGCTATCAAAATGGTTCCTTTTTTGAGAATTCGTTAGATAAGCAATACACAAAACCAAATTCTTATGCATTTATCTTTCTCAGACCAAAACTCTCATTTTTACAGATGAGAATTTGTGAGAATATGGAAAAGGAAGGAGATGAAGTCAAAAAGCAGGCACCTTTGGTATGAAAGAGGATTTTCAGAACCGTTGCGTGAAGCAGAACGTTGAGATTTTTTGGATTGCCGGAGGCGAGGAGATCGGCGGCGGGGGGACGGGGTGCCGCCGACCTTCGTGCCGTAGAGGTGGTCGTATGTGTATCCATTGAAAGGAGAAACGCCAGCTTCCAGCAGGCCGTCTTTCAGAGCAGCTTGCCATGGAGCCAGCTTCGGCCACTGAACAATCTGTCTTTCAATCCATGGATATGATTCGTTTACGAGTTCTGCATTCCACCCAGCTTTCTTCACGAAGCTGCAAAACCAGAAAAAGAAGAAGAAGAAGAAGAAGGGAGTTTTATAAGTGACATTAATCTTAAGAGTGGTTGCAAGAGGCCGGAAACAGAGTAATAATGAGGCATGTGAGGAGGGGGAGAGCTTGATGCCGCCATTAATGAAATGGAGGATTAGGGGGCTTCTGAATTTCCTCAAAAATTCGCTGGTAGGTGAGAGGGGGACAGGTTTCATTTTCTTCATGAGGATTGTGGAGTTTTAAAAAGAATGGTGGTGAGAGGAACGGTGACAGGGATGTAATATCACATGTTCTAATCTGTAGTATCAGGGGTGGACCTCAGGACAGGGCAATTGATTACTCACCTTTCTATTTAAAATTCCTCATAATTTATTGCAAGGTAAATATGTAATTATAGATATTTAGTAATTTATATGCATAGCAAATAATTTTTATGTATTTAAATATCTAATACTTTGATGACATATAATTATGCATGAACATGTGTATTTCATTAAAAAAAATAATAATAATAATGGTGATACTTTTATGTAATTTTAAAATTTAGATGCTAGACTTGTAAATAAATAAAAAGTGTGTTGTATTTATGTAAATATCCCAAAATAAAAATATGAAAATTCACATTCATTTACACACCTAATGTCTGAATTTTAATAATCATAAAATATTCAAATCTTTAACAATCACATCACATATGAGAATCCCTAACTTTTTAAACGTACAATACACAATGGAGAATATATTAGGTCAGAACTCCAGATGCATCTGCAGTCCTATAAGGGAGCAACACGTGTAAAATTGACCAATCAAATTATATTATGATGGGTCCACTTTACACATGACGCCTTCTTAATGGACTCCCCTAAAAAAAAAATTGAGGCAAATGTATGTTACTCAATTTCTAATATATATTTTTTTTCTTTTACTTTTTTATATTATTTTTTTCTTCTTAATATTAATGTAATTGTATGATAAGTTTGATTTATAATATATGATACCTTAAAAATAATTTTTGATGCCCCTAGTTGGTGAACAAAGGAAATATTACATCTGGAAGATGTATGATGGACGTGTAGATGACAAACGTGGGGACCGTGCGGGGACGTGCGGACGGCGGCCGTGTGGACGACGGCAAGCGCAATGGAAAACAAGCAATTGAGTTCAGAATGTACTACAAACTGATAATTAGAAATCAAATGGCTCAAGTACAATGAGAGTGAGCTCTCTTAAAACACAATAAAAAGGTTAGGTGGAGCTGAGTAATTGAAGGAAAAGGTAGGTGAGACTAGACAATAATTAATTAATTAATTAATTAATTAAATAAATAATCTAATTTTGGATAAGCTTATTTTTCTATTAAATCCTAAGTTGAGATAAGCCAATATTCAAAGTCATCAACAACCACCACTTAGTTAGCTAATAATGAGAGCTTAGTCATAAAAAAAATTCCTTTTTTATGAACATACAAAATTCAAATATTTCTTAACGAAAGAAATTTAAAAGGGCAAAACTTGCTTGATATTGGCAAAAACACAAACACCTTGAGCTCGCCCTCGTGTAGAACCCAGCATTAATGCAAGTTCCACCTCCCAAAACCCTAGCCCTTGCATTGATCACTCCATCGGTTGAAATGAAGGCCTGGGAAGGAGACTTGGGGGACGTATCAGCTAGAGAAATGTGGAAGTTTTGAAGGTGGGAAACATTCACATTGCCGTAAGGAGAACCACCCCTCTCCAGAAGAAGCACACTGTAGTTCTGTGAAAGGGTGGCGGCCAAAGGGCAGCCCGCCGTGCCGCCGCCGACAATAATGTAGTCGTAGCCTCGCAGCCGCCGTAAAGAGAAGCTGCTCGCCATCTTCAGATATGGATACTTCTTCCCTGCAAACTCCCACCCTGCAAATTCCCACCATTTGTTCAAAAACTTCAGTTCAGAATGCAGTAAAAATCACATTTTTTTCCCTCTTACTGCAAAACATGCAGAATAAGCAGAGAAAAAGAAGAAGCAGAAGAGAGAAAATGGAGTAGAGACCTTGAGAAGATCTGAAAATGGAGAGGATGAGTAAAATCTTGAGGAAAAGGTCTCCAAACTTGGGAGCCATGGAGAGAGGAGCTCGAGATGGCCGCCAATGTCTTCCTGTTGCAGAGCCTCCTTCCCCACCAGTGAAAAGATGCAGACTTGAGAGTAACAGAGAAGAAGAGTGGGAGAGAAGAGATCTTTGCTCCATGTATTTATTGCCTGGTGAGCTCTAACAATGGGATCATTTAATGGAGACATGAATGCGAGGTTGGAATACAGAACACCAATGGAGAGTAGAGCCTTTAGGCCGCACATTTCACTTAAAAAAAAAAATAAGTATCTTAATGTAAAGTTAAATTTACTTACACACAATTGTTATGTATTTACATATCAAACTCCTAAACTTGCATATTTACAAATAAACCACTTTAGTATTGAAAAATAGATAATAAAGCTAATTTTTTATATGATATTACAAATTTGAGTGTTATATATGAAAATATGAAATTTAGGTGTGAGAAATGTAAATACATAAAATTGTGCGGTATGCATGTAAATTCCTTCAATTTAAATTTAATTGCAGACTTGTTTGTTGATTAGAACAAAGTTGTATTTCGGTGCGCCCAATTTTTTTTTTTTTAGATTGATGGAAGCTTTGATCAACGATAAAGATCTGATGACTCATTCATTTCTGCATACGCCGTCCATATAGAATAATTTTTCACAAATTTTCGGCTTTTACATACATATGACAAAGTTCGTATGTATTTAGGTTTCTTTAGATCATATTTAGGTTTTTTTTTTCTCTTAAGCACAATCCACTTTAAATAAATTAAAGATAAATTTACGTGCATACCCACAATCTTTATGTATTTATATATCAAACACCTAAACCCTCATAATTACAAATATAACACTTTTCATGTGATATTACAAAATTGAGTGCTATATATGAAACTATGAAAATATGAAAATTATGTATCATATATGTAAATACATAAAAATTGTGTGGTATGTATGTAAATGACTAATTCAAATTTAAACGCAATGGGCTTTAAATTTATCAATTTTTATATAATACAATGTAAAATTGGGATTTTTACATGCATACCATTACACCACAAAGTTCTTACTTATTTACATGCCTAGGCATGTAAACATTCATATTTGCATCTATACCATTGAAATCATTAATATCACATAAAAAATATCACAATCATAACACCAATGTGCTATAAGTATAAATATAAAATCCCGGTGATATATATATATGTAAATACGAAAAAAGGTGTCTGATATTTATGTATTTCACATTGAATTTAAATCTTTAAAATAAATCTAACTAATGTAAACTAATGTATGATATTTATATTATCATACAACTCTCCAACCACCCCTAATGTGCTTAATAATTCGAGTACCGCCTTCTTAAGTCCAACTGTGTCAGAGAGAATTCGAATTCATGACCTGATGAGTCTTATATCGTGGATGTCAACCAACAGACCGGGGTACGCGGCAGAGTAAGAGCTTTAGATCTAAACTTTAAATAAATATGATTAAATTTATTCAATAGTAAAAAAATAGAAAAAAAAGCATGTTAAGCTTAGAGTAATTAATTCCTATGATGTGTATTTTTGGTAGATTACTAAGTTTATTTAAGTGTTTAATGCTTTTTATAAATATATGTTTTTTTCACCTTTCACCTTTCTACATTTGCAAACATTTGTTGGCTAACTACCATATTTATTATTAATAAACATTTACAATAGTTAATGCTAGCAGCCAACTTCCTAATCAGTCTTCAAATAAATTCATGCACAAATGAGTGTCATAATTGCTGATTTTTTTAATTGAATAAAATGATGGAAGATTTACATATATACCCCACAAATCATAAGTATTTACATGTCAAGCACCTAAAATACTAATTTTTACAAATATGTCATTTTACTTATGCTATAAAATGTGTTTTTCAATTTCTAAGAGTTGAAATGGTGATATTTTGGATGTGGGATAAAAGATTAGTGGTATGGATGTAAAAAAGTAAACTTTGATTGCTAAATGTGTAAATAAATAAGGTTTGGGCGGTAAGTTGTAAATGGGCGTAAAATAATTTAGCATCATTGGACTCCTATTTTGCCGCATGTTTTTTTTTCTTGAGAATATGACGTTTCCCTAAAAGCAAGATTATTTTAACTATAAATAAATTTATTTAGATAGAAATAAGAAGCTTCTCTTACACACAGTGTTTGTTTGAAACACCTGTAATTGTTTGAAGAAGTAGTTGTAAAGTTGTTAAAGAAGAAGGGTCTGTTTGGGGCAGCTTATAAGTGCGGGCGGCATTTTCAAAACGCCGCACGCCGTTCGCGTGTTTCGTCAGCTTATCCAAAACTACGTTTGAGTTTTTACACTAAGCGCAAGCTGGATAAGCAGCTTATCCTGAAACGCACAAGCTGCATCAAACGCACCCGAAGTTGTTCAAAAAATTGTGGTGACTACTACAAAAATATTTTTTTTTTTTTTGAGAAAATCAGACTGCGGGTTTTTAGCAAGCAACGCCTGCGGTTTTCTAGCAAGCACCGCATATGGTCATATATGGTGGGAAAATGCAGTTGTAATTTTAGAAAAAAAGATAAAACCCAGTTTTATCAAACAAGAAAAACTACGCACCGCTACCACACCGCCGCTTCAAATGCATTCATAGTGTTTAATCAAACAAAATTACAATTTTCATTGCTATTTTACAAATCTACCACCCTCTTTCAATCTTTCATTGCTAATATTGCTTTAGAACACAATCAAGTTAATTTGAATAAAATCAAAGTTTGGTTTTACTTTCTTATAGTGAAATTTTATCAAAATTTGGGGAGGAAACATGTGGGCCCAGAAATGGGGGCGTGGGAGATTAAGAGGCCTGCTCTAAGATCCCCTGTTCAATTCAAGGCCCACCCTACCCATTTCACCAAAGGCATTGATTGTTGGCATTATGTGCTTGCTACGACACATAGCTAATGGGGGGGTGGTGGATTTTAATGCATACCACATGCATACACAAAAATGGTACTCTAAGCCAACATTTTACTTGTGATGGTTTTAAAACTTATTGTAAAATAAAATTTTATTTATGAAATATAGATATTATAGGATATGTGTTTCACATTGAGGGGGATATTAGATATTATGAAATATGAAGTGGTTAAGACGGTAATAACATTTGTTTTGTTAAAACAGTAATAACATTGCATCTTTCTGTAAACATTTTCTTATTATCAACGCAAGGATTGTTCCAACCTTGCAAATCATATTCTCATTTCTGTGGCTGGTGATAGAAATAGAGGTAGTTGTAGAGGAGCCCAACATCCTTAAATTTAGGCCTCGTTTTGGGTAGCTTATTTGGTGCGGTGTGTTTTGAAAACGCACGCAGAATCGTTTGGGTAAACTTCGTTTTGATAGCTTATTCAAAAAACTACATTTTCAAACTGTTGAAATCAGCGTTTTCATACTATTCCTCACTAGGCGTAGCGACAGCTTTCTAACTGTGGTCTCGTTTTTCCACAAAAAAAAAGTGTAATAGTCACTACAGTTTTTAAACAATGGACTATTTTTCAGCTGCAACTGCCCCAAACAGAACCTTGAAGTAAAATCTTTTTTATTTATACAAAATTAAATTGATAATATTGTCACCTAAAACTAAATAAATAATTACAATTTAATATGAATGATATCTAATGAGATTAGTGATTAATCATATTTTTTTCAATATTACACTATTAACATATATTAAATATTTTCATTTTGTTTTAATCAAGAACTATAATTTAAGACTTTCTCATTAATATTGGCATTGGTCTTCCCTTGTGCTACCCTTTTCCTTATTGATCCTCGCCTTGTAACATAATTTTTGTAATCTTTGTTTTGTGTTCTCTCTCATTACTTCATTGTTTAAACTATATATATTTGGGTGATATATGAAAACCCATTCGAAATATGCACTTTACTCAAACGATCATAGTTGAGTTCGTAAAATGCATCACACCAAATAAGCTGTCTCAAACAGAGCCTCAGTTACATATCATCCAAAACACTTAAAACTTATTTCATTTTATATTTATACCACTCAAAATTTTCATATCACATAAAAATATTATTTTTTATTTATTAAAAATGATATATATAT